GTTAATATAAGAACCTAAAGCAAAATATTCGTAATCTCAATATCTGAAAAATAATTAATAAGAGGTAATTCACAATTTTTTAAAAATAGAAATAATGTTTTAGTCTTAAATGTGTTAAACTAAGGTTAAAATTGTTACTTAAGAGACAATAACGAGCCTACACTGTGAATGTGAAAACAGTGTATTCTTGTCAACTTATACCTACTTTAGTTAGTTTAACTTCCAGACAGCTTCAAATCTATTTCATATTATGCTGTACAAAATAAAGAGTTGAAATAAGATTAATGAATCTGTATTTCTGTTATCCTTGTTTTTGTATTGATTGTTTAAGCTACTTAACACTTTTGCTGACCAGGTGTCAATTTCAAGTTTTACAGTCAAAAGTCTTTAATCCGGAATGATCTATAATCCGGACCTCAAAGCTACAAACTTTCTGCACATGCATACCATTTACGCATGCGCAGAGATGCATTTATGCAAGTGCATAATACTTTTATGCATGCGCATATGCATTTACGCATGCGCATGTTTAATGTATAACGAACGGTATAAGCTGAGCTAAAATTATCTATTTCAGTTAATGTTGCAGATTGCATTGTTCCTTAATCTTCTAATTGGATTCGGCTTATTATTTTTTGCAGACTGTTAGAGCAATTTTATAAAAGTAAGCTTGAACTTTCGATTATGTCAAAAAGAATTTTCGATTCTGGAGCTGCCAAAGGATCTACAAAGAGAAAGCATATTCTGATGTCCATCAAACAAAATGTGGATTTGCTGCCAAAAATGGATAAAGGCATATCCTTTGTTTCTGTAACCATTCTGAAATCTGTTTATCAATTTCACACTGCTCTGCAGGGGGGGGGACGTTGCGGTGCGCAATGAACTGGAAGCTGATCTGTCAGCACTATCCTTATCTTCAGGGCAGATGTTTTTTTATTTTATTCGGTTTATAATTCCTTACAAAATATAGTATTTCATCTTGATGTATTCCTCTTTGATATGATTTAAATCAAATTCCTCATCATTATAAATATCATGAATACACATCAAATAGTTTTCTGGTTGCAATTTTCTAATTTCGACTATGCGTAATGTAGGCTTTATGCATGCGTGCGTTGAAAGAAATGTTTAATAAAGTAAATAAATAAATATTAAGCTTATTTTTTGTTTGTTTGTAAATTTTGATACCCTTTAGATCATAATTGCTCTTTATTTCATAAATTACGGTTTCATATTTTTAATTTTATAATTTCTGCATGCCATCTTACCAGATTTAAACTGATGACCTATAATCCGGAATCGCAGACGTGTCCGGATTAAAGACTTTTAACTGTATTTGTTATGCACATAATGCACCTTTTAAAAAAAATTTTTTTTGGCATTAATGACCACACAAAATAAAAAGTTGTGCAGTGTAGAGAGGAGGGAACGCACACACAACATACTAGCAAATGCCTTCATCTAAACCCACAATGCGTGACAATATCAATTGAATCCAAGTGTGATCTGATCGACTCTTTGTCAAAATAAGATGACAATTGTTTTGGCAAAACAAGAAGCACTGGAGAATCTATGCCAGGCATAAATTCCATTTCAAATCATATGATCAAAAACGTTGTAATGTTTATAGTTTAGATTACAGATCTTATCATTTTAATGATTGAAAAGAGTTATTTTCCTGACTGTTAGAAAATTGTAGCAGCCATATATACTCCAAAAGCCAAGACAAAATTTCAATTTATCTATTAGTTCCAAAACGAGGACAATTTATGTATCCCTTATATGTTTATTAGCTTACTCTCATCGCTCTAAAATTTATCAGCTTGTGTTATTTAAACTCCTGAATGAATTCAGCCATAATCAAAATCTGCCTACTCCATGGTTCATCAACTGCTTCAAGTAATCAAATTTATTCTTCCTGTCTTATGAAAGATAAGCGCAGGAAAACTAGAATTGTTATTTAGACATTGTGAAAGGACTCAGCATAGGGGACTTATTTACAAGTTCATATGACTCTCCCTTTTGGCACAATCTATTAAATTAACTCACTCGTACTTGACTGGACAATTATTCTATTTAAGAATTAAAAATTAATCCCCCCTCACTTAATATATGCAGGAGTGCCTCAAGGTTCATTACTCGAACTTCTACTGTTCCACATTTATTTAAATCATATTCCCAAAGCATCAAGTGTCAATCTCGCCTTATATGCAGATAATACAGTTATCATATCCATGGTAATTTCTGTATCACAGAGTTACCTTTCAAGCCTAGAACTCTGCCAAATTAAAATTAATCTCACAAAATGTGCTGCCACTTTGTTCATCTGAAGAAATATTCCTGCTTTAGATAATCTTTTACTTTTTGGTGACTTGTTCGCTTGGATTCAAAATTATAAATAATATCTCAAGAGTAATTTTTGATTCAAAATTAGCTTAACAACTTCATGCTGAGGAAATAATCCTCAATGGGAAGGCTCTCAAAGCTGAACTGCATCCCTTCTTCACTAGAAATAATGACCATTGATAGAAGGATTTTGCTCTACAAGATAATGCTAAGGAATAAATTATTAATGCTAGTCCTGTTTGGAGCTCAGCTGCACTGACTAACAGAAAACACACCCAAAAACTTTCAAGATATCATTCTTCTGCAAATACTGAAATCTCCTTGGTTCATGAGGAATGAAGACATTCATAATGATACCCAAATTCTTCCCGTATGTCACTTTATACAGCAACTTTTAATAAAAATTTAAAAAAAAATCACCTTGTAGGAAACTCAGTTTTACATGAAGTGCCTTTTAATGATGTAGCCATTGCATCTTCAGAGAAACTCCCCCAAGTAGTCTTGAATTAACCATTATAATGACTGCCTATATTCTAAGAGACATTGTCGTGGGAACTCTGTGCCCCAGGTGAATCAATCTTTCTCATTACTACTCATTCCCTATTGTCGTGCCCCCACTGCAAAGTACAATGACTGATGAAACCCATTCTTCCACCTCAAACCTGATTCCGGCCCTTAGATATTTGACCAAAATCTAAAATATAATACTTAAGAGTCCACTATTGTTTACATGTATCTCTGGCATATTTCCCTACGGAGGACACTAATATTATGAAATAAATTTTTGACATTTCATTTTAACTCTTTTGGCATTTTTTTCATTCAACCTGTTTGCGATGCTCATCTTTGTCAGTAAATTTTAAATCTTTGATGATGTGGTTTTGCCTAAGAACCCTTTAATTGAAACAACGCTAATTGACACCGAAGTGGCTCACTTAACACTTTTATTATACCTACTGGCTACATTTACAAGAAAGAAAGCTACTTCACATGAGCTTAAGCAAATTGTGCTTCTTTTTTGGTTATTTGGATACAGCTCTTGAAAGAATACAGATTACTGATCATGCTTTTATAAATAATATTCTTGATTAAATTATAGTTTCACTGATATACACTCATCAAACCTCAAAACTACTTTTCTCCAAAAGTTTTACACAGATTTGGCCAATAAAGTAAGTATTTTAAAACAGAAATGAAATTTAAGGCAAAATATTCTTCTCTAATTTATTTTCAAATTATCACACCCCAAAAATATAAGAATTAAATATTTGCTCATTATTCTGTTCTTCCCTTATTTTAGATGGAGATTTAATGAAATAAAGCTTGTTCTGGAATTTCAGTCTGCCATTCAGTTTTCTGTTTTTCAAAAAATCTGAAAAATAATAGGACTCTGAATAATCTAATTTGTGAAAGCATTTTCTCATTTTCAAATACTTTACACGGATTTAATTCCTTTTCATGTTTCATGTTAATTAATTAAACACATTACAATTTTACATTTTTACAAAATTAAAGGTTCTGAATGGGGAACGCACACACAACATACTAGCAAATGCCTTCATCTAAACCCACAATGCATGACAATATCAATTGAATCCAAGTGTGATCTGATCGACTCTTTGTCAAAATAAGATGACAATTGTTTTGGCAAAACAAGAAGCACTGGAGAATCTATGTCAGGCATAAATTCCATTTCAAATCATATGATCAAAAACGTTGTAATGTTGCCATATAACAAGTTCTTTTGAAATCCTGAGTCAAAAATTATTTTCCTATTATAAAAAAATACGAGAACGCTAGAAACTAATTAGTGAATTATTAGTGGATGGCATTATAAAAGCTGTACAATGTATCCAAGACTGAAATGCACATGCTCTTATCAATTGCCAGAAAGAAAAAATTTTCTAAGTTTCCTCTCAAAATGAAAATTTTATGTGAAAATTTAGATTAAATACATTTAACTAAGATATACAGTATATTTATATAAAGGGGTAAAAAAAATTACAAATATTAAAGGCAGGTAAGGAAAGCAAAATAAGCAGATTTTTATAATGAAATGCTGGTGTGTGGAAATCGTATGTAGAAATAGTAATGAGCACTACTGAATAGTAGGTAAACGTATTCTGCTTGTATAAATCCTCATTTCCTTGCAAATTTTCAATGGTATGTATTGCAACATGAATGCAGCTCAGCAAACTGCATTTTACCTATGAGGATGGAAATGAAGCAGCTGCTGCTCAAAGGAGATATTCCAAAATTGTTCTCTGTTTTGAATAATCGCTCAATTTTAGTCGCAACTCCATGCATAAAATGCATGTCAAATGAGTTCTGCATTTATATCAAGATGCTTATCACTTGAAATTCAGATGAGAAATGATGATTCATGCCAGCACTTTTACCTACTGTTTAATGATGCATGTATTATCTCAATACACCATTCTCACACACAAACTCCATTACAAAATCTTCTTATCACTCTATCTGCATTTATATTTTTGCCAGATATTTTTTAATCATCCTATATTAAAAAAAGGATGCATTCATGCTTATTATGCAATATACAGTCAAAAATCTTTCATGCTTATTATGCAATATACAGTCAAAAAATATTGCATTAAATTTATAATACATAATTGTGATTACTAATGTCATACCTTCATTGGTGGAGGTTGCTGTCGAAAAGCAGCAGGTTGTGGTCGATCTTGCAGAGGTTTACTACGACCAGCTTGAAGTTGCTGACTTGAAGCACTAGCAGACAATGATGATGGTAAAGCTTGTTCTGGAATTTCAGTCTGCCATTCAGTTTTCTGTTTTTCAAAAAATCTGAAAAATAATAGGACTCTGAATAATCTAATTTGTGAAAGCATTTTCTCATTTTCAAATACTTTACATGGATTTAATTCCTTTTCCTTTTCATTTTTCATGTTAATTAATTAAACACAACAATTTTACATTTCTACAAAATTAAAGGTTCTGAATGAATTTCAGTCTTGGTCTTTTCCTTAATTTATACCCGGGTCAAATACTTTACTACTGCAGTTCTCAAATGCATTTCTATTTTTCATGTCACAGTCTGAAAATTCAGTCCTTTCAGACTTTTCATCTATTGGAAGATCTAAAACAGTTCGTTCACCACTCTGTGGTTTATTCGCATCATGTATACAATTCACCTCGGTATTTTTAGCAGATGGTACATGCTTATTTTCCTTCATTTCCTGGGGACCAGCTCGAAATTCTGCATCAGAGTCATGAATGGAACCCAATTCTTCACAAACACAAGTATCCAGGTTTAGAATCAAGTCCTTGTCTGCAAAATCACGGTATGAGATGCACACATAGTTTGCAAAGTGGGTGAATTTTCTTGCCATACTGGAGTGCACTGCTTAAGCTGTACATCAGCTTCTCCCATCTCTGCATCACATACACTTTTAGATGGTTCAACACTTGCTGACTGCATTTTCATAACTTCACTATCAGTTTCTACGAACTTGACAGTTGCATTTTCACTTTCTTCTATCTCTACTTCAAGCACGTGAGAATCAAAATCTTCCTTCCCGTCCTTTATTTCTTCATGTTTTCTGTTTTCGTTCTTTTTTTTTAATCCCGTTAGATATTTCATTGATCATTTCTGGATCTTTCTTAGGCAGGTTGTTAGCTATTTCATTCATTTCTTCATCCTTGGATTCTCCAGATGCCACTACTGTCATTTTCACATCTTCTTTTATAGCTCCAGTTTCTTCTGCAAGCTCCACTTTCAATTGTTGGAGTTGCTTTCGCACCTTTTCTTGGCGACATTTATTTCTTCCACCCGGCTTTCTTTTCTTCCAGTCCCGCTTTCATCTCTTTCATCGTGGCTTTGATTTCAGCCTTTATCTCCTCCTGTCTGGCTTTCAACTCGGCTAAAAGGTCCATCAAAGTCTTCGTTTCTTCCACCATAGCTTTCCTCTGCAGGCGGGTCAATGGCATTCACTCGCTAATCGTACTTCAGTCACCAATTGTTATGTTTTTCTTTTCTGACACCAGTTGTTACATTATTTTCTTCCTTCACGTTTGTACAGGGTTCGAGTGGATTTGGAGTGAATAACGATGACACTACTTGATAAAGTATCGAAACACACTTTATTGGCCAGTATTGTCAGGACAGCTCCAAAACACACTTTACAGTCGTCAAAGATCTACTATAAACACGCTGATATGGTCAGCGATACAGCCTTCAGTTTATCAGGCTATAATGGTGGAGACAACTTCACTGCAAAGCACCAGAGTACAGCTCCCGACTCTGCTCGGTCATTCTCGGAACTCCACATACTCTCGAGACTCTCCAAGCAATGCACTCGATGATATAAGAGTATAGCTCTCGACTCAGCACAGTCTAAGACAACTCAACGATGCACTAAAAGACTCTCTCGGTGCACTCGATGACCAACTCAGCGAGCGAGTAAGATGCATTACATGTCGAAGAAACTGATAGTCTTTCCCCTTCTGTAATATTGTTTGTAATATTACTTTTTAATTAACCAAGAAAGCTTATGTTAAGTTTCAAAATAAATAGAAAAACAAACAAACAAAAAATCCTAATGAAATAAACAAAAACACCTGAGCCTCCTTTAATTCACAGGCACACTTATAAAGAGCCATGATTCCCAGTTTGACTATTTCAATAAATCTGTCAAAACCAGAAGCACAAAACAAAAACTAATGCCAGTACATAAAGGTCAAATGACTTAGGAATCAACCCATGCGAAAACAGTTACCACTTACCTCCATCTACTGGCTTTTAAAAATTCAAATAAATCGTTCCGTTTCAAAGTTACATATATGCGACACTGGGCTGGTTTGAGGAGAGATATTAAAACACTACAGAACAAATGCAAACATATTTAAAGACATTTGTGAGCACTCTTATTATTCAAAATGAGTCGGCTTCTGCAATTCTAAATTTAATTGATGTTACAAGTGAAATTGTAAGATTGTTAGAAAGTCTAGAACAAAAATTAGATGGGTTTTTGCTCACTTTATTTGCCTTTTTTCTTAGCCAGAAACTTGATCAGAATACTAAATTACGGTGGGAAAGAAATTTAAAGAAAGGAAAAATACCCATCATCACGGATTTATAATATTTCTGAAAGAACATCTGAGGACATTAAATGCATCCAGAATTTCAATAATGCATACATGAAATCAACCAAAGGTTTCTTCAATAGTGACCGAGAAACATGTATATATTTGTAATCTGTGCAATGCAGAAAATAAATATTTAATTATATAATTAGAGTCAAGTATGTCAAAAAACAAAACTTATGTTTTTGCTGTTTCGGAAATCATGCACTAAGAAACTGCCCTTTGAATTATTCTTATCGTCTGTGCAAAAAACAGTACAATTCATTATTTTGTTATGAGTTAGAAAAAGTTTTGTTTCTCCAAAATAAGAATAATTGTGAAATTGCATACACACTGGGTCAAAGGTCAAAAGCCAATCACTCTAACTGAACTCAACGTTCATGCCAAGCCATTCATAAATTAGGATAATGAGTGTTTTATGACAGCTGTAAATAAACATTGTGATAGAGGAAACAGATTCTTCTAATCAACAGTAATTGTTTACATTAAGGAAAATGAAGGGAAAATATTTTCATCCAGAACTCGGCTTGAAACCCAGGCAATGGAAGCATGATCCATCTTTGTTTATCAGAATTAGCTGAAAAGTTTCATTTACAAAGGGAAAATGTAAACAAATATATCAGTAGGATTATTGGAAGAAGTCAAACAACAAGAATCAGCATTATATTAGTAAATTTTTGAGGACTGGTTTCAATGGTTTAACTACCTAACCATCTTCCTCAGCTGCCAAACTGCAAATGAATGAGATGAGATATGGTTATAAGATAAGAATGGCTGGACAAAAGTTAATCTACTGGTGCTATCTATTGATGAAACAAGAAAACTAAAACGTAATTTCCTTAACCCTTTTGGGGGCAGTATTGTTAGTTTGGTACATTTATATTTACCATGTTGGCAACACCAAGTCTCTTCTCTGCGTGTGAGCTATGGGTGCCATTGTAATGTTGTGCATGTGTTGTTAAGTTTCAATAAAAAAATGTGAAAAGATACGTTTCTTATTTTTGACTTGCTTCTTCATATGATATCGGTTTATTTAACATGGTAGCAGTTCTCGTGGTTTGTGAATATGAATGAAGAATTTAGTAGTTATAATTTGTTTTAAAAGTTACCGGTACTAGCGTAAAAATGGCATGTACAAGAAGCAGTGATATCGGCATACCGCTATTTGATGGTTCGGACTATTTTAATTGGAAAGTGCGTATGATGAAATTTCTTCAATTTAAAAAGTGTAAAGATGTGGTTCAGCGAAAAGTCAGTGAAAACAATGACGTGGAAAAATGGGAAGAAAAGGATATACAAGCTACAAATTACATTTTACGGCGCCATAACAAACAAGCAATTGAAATATACTCACAAGTGTGAGACTGCAATTGATATAATTACGAAATTTGATGCAATGTATTTAAAAACTTCAACATCTCTACAAATTGTTTGTCAAAATAACTTAGAATGTGTGAAACTGAAAAATTATCCTGATGTAAATATATTTTGCGATGATTTTGAGATGTATGTGAACGAACTGAAACATGCCAGCGCCACCGTAACAGAACAAGAAAAATTGAACTATATGCTAAGAGCATTACCTTCAAATTACAGTCACATTGGTGACTTAATAGATGTATTACCAGAGAAGGACAGAACAGTCGATTACCTAAAGAGCAAAATCAAATCTAAATTACTTGAAGAGAAAAATGATTATGAAGATTGTGCACCAGCAGAAAAATCAAATGCTTTCAAAATTGAAACAAGCAAATCGGGTCCACAAGGGAATGTCTGTTATAATTGTGGAAAACCTGTCACATTAAAAAGAATTGTTGGCAATGTCCATCAAAGGAAAAACTATCGTGGTAATGGCTCCACTAATTATCGCGGGTCGAAGTTCTTCAAACAATCGAGGAAGGTAGTCGTGCTTTTAGTGGACATCATGTGAACGTGGAACATACTCTAACCACAGAATAAACAGTCATCAAGGCAATAGTTTTCACACCACTGTTATCGAAAAGTAACATGACAAGTTCCAGTGCAAATACTGTGACGAATAAAAATGAAATCAATTGGTTACTGGATAGCGGATGCACAGACCACATTATAAACAGTGATGAATATTTCAAAGAGCAAGTCATTTTGAAGGATCCTATTCAAGTGAAAGTCGGTGACGGAGGAGGATTTTGAAAGCTACAAAGGTTGGCAATATAATAGTTTCTTTTCCTGTATATAACTCTGAATCTATCGTAACATTGAAGAATGTATTTTATGTAAAAAGAAATGAAAGCAAATTTATTAAGTTATTCGAAGATTACTGATAATCATAAAATAGTTTCAAAAGAAAAGTTCTCTAAAAATATATGATGTCAATGGTTCATTAGTAGCAATAGCAAAGAAAGAAAGGAAGAAAGATATATAAAGTAAAGAGTTATGTTAAAAATAGTAAAATATTTGCAAATTTGACCAACAGTAAGTTAACGTTAAAAGAAAAATTGCACCGTTCATTTGGACATGTAAATTTTAAATATCTGGATATTATGTGCAAAGATCAAACTATTAGAAGGAATCCCTAATAGAATAGAAATAAAAACCGAATATATGAAGTGTGCCATATGTATTGAAAATAAAATGTACACAATTTACCATTCAAGAATAATAGAAGAAAAAGCAGAAGATATTCTGGAGATTATACATACAGATGTAAATGGACCTCACAG